AAATTTCGAATTTCATATGCTTGCCAAGATGTTGACATCCCTCCTCCTGTTGTGTGCCAATATATCAATTTAGCCACACTCACTGGGGCTATGTCATATTTGTATTTATTTATTTCATTTTGTATTTTTTAGGTTCATTTATACCAGCTACACAGAGGCCAGATGGAACTTGGCGAAAACCAAGAAGAGTTAAAGGTGGTTATGTACCCCAAGAAGAAATGCCAGTGTAAGTTGTCCCAAGAAAAATAGATCACACTCTTAGTTATTTGGTCAAAGCAAAAATTATATTTTTCTTCTTACGCTGTCAACGAAGATGACAGAGCAGAGCTATTTATATAGGTAACTGTGTGAGTTATTCATCAGCCAAATTCCTTTGCTACTTGATTTGTAAGTACCTTTGGTAGACCTCTGTCAGATTTGTTCATTTCCTGACAATATCTTCAGTTCTCTATTTTTAAAGAATATTATTTATAATCTTTGGTTTATAATTTACATAGTATGTAGCTACCATGGATGGACCTATATGAGATTTGTAACCAGATGTTAACAATTGTAATTGCCATGGCAACAATCATAAATTACCAAGGTTTTGATATTGCCAATTTGGTTACAATTTTTATTTTTATTTTCACTAATTTTGACTATCAAGACACAATATAAACAAAACTTAATAACAGCAAGTAAAACCAAAAAACATAAAAATAGTCATAAATAACAAGTAACAAGAGTAACACAAATATAAAGTGAAAATCAGAATTTAATTAGATTGTGATATGCAAGAACACTGGGGGATCAATAACCATGGCAAATATGTAATTACTTACCATTCATTATTAAGTTTGTTTTGAGGTAGACACTCTAAAAAGACAGCTATTCCTAATTGCTGACATTGTTTACCAACATTCTTCAAGTGGTGAATCTATAAAAGTTATACTGGTCTAAATAGTGCAGTGGTCTGAAGATGCCCATACAAATTGTTGTTCTTCTCTCTCAGTCTCAATGTGTGTAACAGTTTTAATGGTAACCAATGCTTGCTCCTTGAATGCAGTGTTTTTAAGAGAGTGTCCAGGGGATTGTGTGGCAAAAAATATTTAAAAGTACATGTCAACACTTCTGGCTAGAGAACTTAGTTTGGGAGAAACATTGGGGAGGGACATGATGGATTCCATGTTATGGTATCTTTGTACATCTCCAAGACATTGATGCATGGCATTGTACAACATACATTGTACATTCTACATTCTACAATGTTCACATAATCTCTTCATGATCTCGGCAGCTATGAAAGCAAAGGAAAACAGTGGATTAACAGTAAACCTAAATTACCACCTGGGTATGTGGAACCTAAAAAAGAAGAACCCAAAGAAAAATCTAAAAGTGCAAAAAAGAAAGAAAAAAGAAAACAAAAGCTAAAGGAGAAGAAAGACACTGAGCAACTTGGAGGATCAGAGGCGAAAACAGATACTAAAGAGCTTTCAGAAACATTGCGGAAAACGACAATATCATCAACATCACAGGAACCACAGCAAACTGATGACTTATCTGCTGAAGACATTTACAAGAAAATAAAAGCAATTAAAAAGAAATTAAGACAAATCAATGATCTTGAGGCTAAGATTGCATCAGGGGAGATAAAAAAACCGAACCGAGAGCAGGTCGATAAAATTGCCAGGAAAGATGATTTAGAAGACGAACTATTTATGTTGGAAAATTAAATATAAAAATGTATTTTAATTAATGTACCAAATTTATTTGCATTATGATTTAATTAAAATTTTCAATTTTTTAACAGTGAATTATTCATTTTGTATTGTATAATTTGTATTCAATGGTGTATGCAATATGCACAGAATGAATAAGAATCAACACTACAATTCCCCATCATTTTATTTTTCACTTTGTATCTTTGTAATAGTTGACTTTACATCTGATTGAAATTGCTGTACTCCAGACAATGCCAGACTTTTGTGTTTAACTATATTTCATATCAATGAAAATATTTGCATATTTATTTTTGGATAGCATTAGTGCAAAATTCCCTAAAGCTGAAACTGACATAGATGGGACTAATTTGTTTGCATTTTATGTTTTAATTAACTGCTTTGCATAAGTTATTTTGTCAATAAAAATCATGAAATATTTGCGATGAAGAATATATTTCTGAAACCGCATCTACGTGATCACTGTATTTATCTCATGGTTCACACAATGTATGCACTGACTTGATTAACTATGAATTGATCTCAAGTCAAGCCCCAAAACAGTTTAGTCTCTCTAAAATCTTCACTGCAATACATGTAGCTGAATGGGTTGATATTATTCCCATGTATGTGGCTGGATTTCAGAAGTCAGGATTTAAGGCAGTTGTAATTTTCAGATTCTGATTGGTAAAAAGATGAGTGTTTGAGTATTCACATGATTATACATTATACCCTGGTTGATTATTAAAATTTCTTTGAGGTGAAGTGATACAAGTTTTTTCTGGATAATCTTCACTGAAAAAAAGGAAAAAACTAATGGATTTATCTTTAACAACATTTTAGATTCACAATTTTGGTCACAAGTTTGACATGATAGATGAAAAAAAAAAGTTGTTTTTGTTTACTATCATGTGTATGCGAAAGAGGTATAGAATTGCTGTTTTATGCAAGTAAATGATTTTTCATCGCTAATGTATGATTCAGAAGTGAAAGTTTCTCATTTATTTTGTATTGATAAATTTGACATTTTGAATATATAAATAAATTTGTTGTTCTTATAAATATGTATTTTACCATGATGGTATAAGTCGGGTAAATATCTATTTAGTCAGGCGCAGCCTGAAAAGGGGACTTTATAATTCAGGTTTTGTAAAATGTCCGTTTTCCATATTCCATTTTCTCTCTCTAACATTTTTTCAGAAATTCTACACCATGTATCAGTGAAACTTGGAAGGTTGATGAACAAGTCTCTGCCGAGTACGCACGTAGTTTTTTTTTCGGATCTGAAAATCCCAAGTGGGTCTTTTTTACGATTTTCATCAAAAATTACCTCTCCCGGCAACATTAACAGAACGTCTGCGCATGCTCAGAATAAATTAATTACAGTATACTGTAAAATACTTCATTTTCGCTTGCAACATTTTTTTGCTATTTTCGCTGAAGGAATGTTTCAGTTAAAATAAAATCCAGCGATATATACCCTTTATATACCCTTTTCCCTATATTTTACATTCAACTTGTCAAAAATCAATGAAAATAAATTCAATACAAAACACCCAGAAAAAGTCTTTTCAGTGAATGATTATGGCACACGATTTCTCCATTGCGTGCAATTTATTATAGTACCGGCACTGTTTATACAGTATTCTGTTCGGCTCAGTGGTCTCATTTACTAGTTACTAGAAGAACTAGTAACCTTATTTGATTTCAAGAAGGCGGCATAAGAGACGTGTTTGCAAAGGTAAGTTCTCCAGTTTCAGAAAAATTGAATGTATATTGGGGGTACGATTGGTGTACA